TAAGCTATATATACAACTTATATACTATATATAAGATGTATATATAGTATAGTATATATATTAGTCTAAAGACAAAAGGATGTTAAAAATATTGTAAAGAGATATGCCTTGTGATTTTATTATAGCATTAAAAAATATGACAATATCTTTCATAGTCTTCATCCCCCTATGGAATGAGCACAGCAAGGTGCTAATACCGCCATTGAGAAGAAAAAGAAACTAATCAAGACGTGCCAAAATAGGGAAAAAGTATAATTATAAAAAGTTTGGGATTAAAACAAAGTGGGGGGAGGGGTAAATGGCTATTTTATAAATAGCCAACGGCTATTTTTGACAATCCAACGGCTATATTTTAAAAAAAAATTAAAAAAAAAATAACCGTTGGGACCGTTTGGCCCGCGAAGTGATCAGGCCCTAGCGGGCTAAACGGTCTCGGGCCCTAGTATATATATATCTTATATACTATATATATATATATATATANATATGACAATATCTTTCATAGTCTTCATCCCCCTATGGAATGAGCACAGCAAGGTGCTAATACCGCCATTGAGAAGAAAAAGAAACTAATCAAGACGTACCAAAATAGGGAAAAAGTATAATTATAAAAAGTTTGGGATTAAAACAAAGTTTGGAGGGGGAGGGGTAAATGGCTATTTTATAAATAGCCAACGGCTATTTTTGATAGCCCAACTGCTATATTTTTAAAAAAAAAATTTTAAAAAAAAGCCGTTGGGACCGTTTGGCCCGCGAAGGGATCTGGCCCTAGCGGGCTAAACGGCCTCGGGCCTGACGGGCCCAAATCATAGGACCGACTCACAAGACCGGCCCAGGCCCGCTAAAATCGGGCCTAACGGTCCTGGCCCGTTTAGCCCGCGGTCTCGGGCTTAGACCGGCCCACTTGCCACCCTTAATTGGAGCTGGTCGATCAGCTGTTGAGTTTGTCTTTAAAGGGGTAGTAATTTAGGATTATTCTCTAACGATTATGTCAGATAAAATGAGACGAGGAGAAGTTTATTCCAATTAATTGAAAGCACATTTGGTCGAGCTATCAAAATTTACTTATTTTGAAAGGTATTTTTGCTCAAAAATACTTTTGGAAAGTTGTAATTTGTGTTTGGTCTATTCATTTGAGAAGTGCTTTTTAAAATTTTAATAAGCAAATTGTATTTGGTCAATTTTTAAAAAAATTACTTTTGAGTCAATATTATTTAAAAGAGAAAAATAAATATAAATATTTATTAAAAAGAATTTAATTAATATTTTATTTTTATTTAATTAAGATATAAAATATAAAATAAAATATATATTAAAAATTTTAATCAATACAAAACATAGTTATCTAAAGCAATAATATTGGGTGTCCGATATTACTTATCGTGTACGTGATAATTCAAATATATTAAAATACAATCATTTAGTATAAATCAAAATTTGCTTCAAAATTCATATATAGAAAAAGAGATTTATTGATATTAGAGAGACTATTTCAAAGAAAAATAGACGAATGGAGAATAAAAATACAATGAAAATAGAATAAATAAAAAAGACGAAAAGGATAATAGAAATTTTAAAAAAAGTTAAATTAATAAAGAATAATTTAAAAAATACAAAATTTATAGTAAAAATACTTTTGTCTTAAAGGAATTAATTTATTGCTTCTGCTTCTGAAAAAAAACTAAAATTTATAGCTTCTTCCCAAACCAAAAAAACTGTTTCTACTACTGCTAAAAAAACACTTATACATTTTGGCCAAACACATATAGGTTGGCAGACTCTAATTTAGGTCGGAGACACAATAAAAGTAAAGGCGTCAGAATATCAAAAGCCTTGACAAGGACAATATCCCAACACCACGATCCATATCATGTGAAGTCCGCATTTGACCGTTTTTCGAAATGCGGGCAAACAAATAGTAGATAATTAGGTTGTGGGATTATTCAATAGTCCTAAACTTCCACGCAGAGGATTCCCTTGCTTTCAAGTGTTATATACTCTACATCTACGTGGTCCTGTCATTTCACTTCAAAAGGTTGAGTTTGGTGAAAGCAAAGGTAATTAACCGAATTCTAAAAGAAAGAATTGAAAGAGGTACATAAAGGAATTAAATAGAGAGCTGATCGAATTACTACTACTACTATCAAGATGCGGGCAGTGGCAGTTCCCTCATATTCACATCTTAGCGTAAATAGCTTGTTGCAGAGAGGCAGAAGTAGAGATTTGCAATATTACAGAGGTGCTTGCCTCATCACAGGGAGGAATTTAGCTTTGAGTGCAACAAAAAAGCAAAAAAAATCTAGCTTTACCATAAACGCGCAGCAGACATACACTTCACAAATCACCATTCTAGCCGATATGCCCCTCTATGAATCCCCTGATGTACATTCTCTTTTCTTCGTATGATTTATCTAGAGTTAGTTAATTCAGAATGAATGTGATCTTATTATACACGTATGCATATCTATTTTCTTTTAAATGTGTATATAAATTCCGTTGAATCCGAATAAACAATAATGGGTGGCTGCAGGCTTCTTTCGACAGGTACATGGAGGACAAACCCAGAGTATTCAAAGCCATATTTCCAGAGAACAGAGGAACCCAACGTGTTAACGAGGTAATTAAACACTACTAGTACTCTTCTTTTTTGTTAGCACGTAATTATATATATTTTGGTTCACATCTACTAAAAACATATATGATTGATCTGATAGTTATCTCTCTCCTATATGATTGATTCGTTAATGTGAATAAAAGCTTCTATATATGTGGTACTAAAACAAATATATATATATATGATCAATGCTTCCGCCTGGAGTGATAGATGGGATTTCTGTGTAATGGAAATTAATCACCGTAACATATATGGTGCAGGAGGAATGGAGAATCCGAATGGAACCGATAGCCTTCTTATTCCTCACAGCCTGGCCTGTTGTTAATATGAGAATTAGATACAAAACTAAAGGAAAAGAATACCCTTCTGGCGTTCCCACCAATACCTCTACTGTTCTCGAGCTGAAAATTGTAAGTGCATACTTGGAACAGACAAAATGGGTTAATTTGTGGTTAAATTCAATTAAGTTTTAACTTTGTGGTTAATTTGCTATATATGCAGACAAAATGGGATCTAGAAGGGGTAACAGAGGGGAAAAATAAACCTTCAGAATTCAGGCTTAATATGGAAGGAGCACTTTACCCAGATAGAAGAGGAGCAAGAAGCAGGATCAAAGGTCATTTCAATATGAGCCTTAGCTTCGCTCCGCCTCCTATGCTTGCTTTGGTTCCTCCACATGTTCATCAACATGTTACACAATCGGTTAGAACTACTTAAATTGAATTATACACCATGTATACAATAATTCTACTTCAAAAAATTACTTTACGTCATCGATTGAAATTGACGTGTGATAACATAGTACTATTTTTTAGAAGATTAATTAACCTAAATAATCGTTCATCCAACTGCTTATATTAAAAATAGTCGGCAGATATATAATATATGTACTATAATTTATATATAATATGTGTATAATCGTTTATAATCAGTGTATACCTATTAGGAAAAGTAAACAGATAATCCATCCGCCTATTTGTGTAAAGATTCCTTTTTTTTAATCTCTGAAATTTTTGGCTGCCCCACTGCTTAATCGAACACTAATAGTTGGAGTTTTACTGATATTTCAACTTATGATATTACGATCGAGATTTTTATTTTCATAGAAGATAAATGGTATTCCAGTATTTTAAAACACTAATTTAGTAAGGACTAGCTACTATAGCAAATGATCTTTCTAACTTTGCCTTGTATATGCTATAACAGGTTATGAAGAATATGGCGGAAAGTATGCAGCATAAAGTAAGAGATAATCTGCTTGCCGATTACACTAAATTCAAGAAGGAAAACTACAAAAATATTCCACCTCCACAATAAGTTAGACTTTTCATTGAAGAAGAAGAGCGAAAATAAGATAAACAAGAAAAATACTGAAACACTCTTAGCTCGGTGTGAATTTCCCTTTTTGTGGCCTTTTGTATTTGTTCAACTAATCAAGCTAACAATGAAAATTATTGGTGTATACTTTGTTAATTAGTGATATCGTGTACGCAAAGGCAAGTATGAAGTGAGATTACTACTTACAAGCACACTTGTATCCCTCATTTTTTTGTCTTTTTCAGGAAAGGGAATATACAGTGGGGAAATAACTAATACTATTAATAAAATGTTTATCAGTGGGAAAAGGAAATATACAGTGGGGAAAGAAGTTTATTGTTGTTATTGTTCTTTTTCAGTCAAAAATTGTTGCTGGTCGATCATTTCACACTAAAGATTCAATCAAATAAAAGGAAAGACTTTCCTTCGAGCGCCGTAAAATAATGAGTAAAAAGGACGATGTGGAGATGCGGGGGATCGAACCCCGTGCCTCTCGCATGCAAAGCGAGCGCTCTACCATTTGAGCTACATCCCCTGTTAGTTCTGTTTTTCCTCTGGATTTGTATTATTCTATTCCGTTTTGCCTGTTAAAAGAAAAAACACATTTTTGCTATATTTAGAAATTAAATTTAACTCTAAATTTTCAATTTAAACCTAAATGAGATATTTATAACAACACAAATATCTATATCTTTTTTTTTAGATCATAAGTTTGAAAAGTCATCCATTTTTCTTAAATTACATGTCCAATCAAATACTACTGCATAAATTGGAATGGGGTGACTAAACAAAAGTTTTCTTAACTTGAATATTCATACACAGTTCCAACAATAATTCATAATGGAAACTATAAGAGTCAATACGATTAAAAAGTTTAGGTATATTAATAAACAATTACATAATTGCTTATTTAGTAGTAAACAAAAACTATAAACAACTGTGTTAGATACTACTAGTAATTTACTTATTACTAGAATTTAGGGGATAATTATGTGAATCGATTGAGCCAAAATCCAAGCTTGAATTTTGATAAGTCGAGTCGAATTGAGTATTGAATCGATAAAATACAAATGTACTTAGCCAAGATCCATTCGCTCAGTTTAGTATCCAAACATACTTGAAAAGAAGATAACATCCATACAATGAAGGTGGTTGAGAGAACATCACGATTCAAATTCTCATTAAAATTGTGATGACATCTAATCTTAACCTGCAACGTGAACCAACAAAATTTGATACCATAAAGACATAAGCAAGTTAACATGGTTATAATCATAACATAAGTTTAAATAAGTATGAAGTATCCAAATACAACACTACTACAGGCGAATAATACATGAATTTGAATAAGTACATCACTATCTAGAACAAGAAATAGTAACAATAAGACTAAGAAAAGTTCAAGGCATTGTAATCCAATCCAAGCAGCTCCCTCATGTACAACTTTTATGCACCCTCGTGTATACGGCTTACATAATAAAACCTCAAATCGAAATAGTACAAATAAAAATAAGAAAGAGCAAAAATCTTTCCTTATTAATCTTAGCGAGGGGCACCCTCCCCTGACAAGAATGCAAAAATGCAACATTAGTACTTAATACTTTATGGGATCGTTTAGTTCAGAGATAAGTTTTTAAGTTATGTAAATATTAGTTATACAGGTATTAGTTATGCAAGAATTAAATTTATGAGATATTAGTTATGTATGGATTAATTATTTTTGAATACTTGATTTATTATATAAAAAATCAGTCCCACATTATACAATTTATTTTTATTGAAAAATATTTGTTTACAAAAAGAAAAAATTAAGCAAACAAGCAAAATATCTAGTAATAGTAGAAAATAAAAAACAATAGAAAAAGGGTCTAGTAGCAGAACTAGCATAAAGGGATATTTTTTTATTTGTTAGTTTAATTCACGTATTATTTAAAATAATGCAAAATAATTTCTTATTATTTCATAAAAGAATTTTTTTATACGGGTATAAGAAAAAGAAAAAACCTAACCAAAACTATGTTGGATTCACCAAACAATGTAATTACATAAATTATACATAGTTTTATATTCTCCCTATCCGGTAACCAAGCGACCCCTATATGTTTAATTTTAATTTTATATAAGTAAATATTCTTCTATAAATTCCAAAAATCAATACTCCTATTAGTTATCCGGTGTGAATTTAAACTTGTACAATCCAACTTACTTTAAAAGGAAAACCTATTTGTTCGGTTTCTACCCTTGGTCTTTCCAGAAGAAGACAGAAAGGGAAAAGGCTCGGAGCAGTGGTGGCATAGTTTTGACACCGTCATCATTGTACTATCCTCATACTCTGTCTCCGCCGTCCACTGTCGGCATAGGTATCTGACCGTCGTAGCCTTCTCGTTTTCCGTCTACTCTTACCGCGTATACATGCCGGAGATTCTGTATCTGTCGGTTTGAAATAGTACGAATTTGTAACGATACGCTGTTTGTGCAATTTTTATTTTTGCTGCACTATTGCGTTCTTTTTTCTTTCTTTTTTTGGTTTTTTCTCTCTTCTGCTCTATGTTCAGTACTCCAATTTGTTTGATTTTTCAATTGGGATTTTCTGATTAATCGAAGATGATCAAGATTATCGGCGTGTGTTATCTGGGTGTTAAAAAGATGATTCTTTTAATGGCATAAAGTATAAACTGGGTTTATCGGTATATCCTATAGCTCAAGTCTAGGTTTCTTGTTGCATTAGTTTTTTTCTAATTAACCCTAAAAGTTTCAATTTTTTTCTTCTTATATTGGGTTTTCAGTTTTGGATTTCCTCTACCCCCCTCTTTTGCTGTTTTTTTCTAAGTTTATCTAACATGGAATGTGGACTATGTTATGGCTGAATAAAAACTACAGCTCAATCTTAAACTAGTTAAAGGGTTAGCTATATGAATCTTTTATATTCATTCCGCTCTATTTGCGCTTGGACTATGCTATTGCTACATTTTTTTACTTTCTAAATAAGTCAGAAGATTGTGATGAATCTATCATTCAAAGAAAATTAGGATGTCAATCTCTAAAAAAATGATCTTTCTCTCTTGATTCTATATTTTGTAATTCAAACGACCTCAGTGTTTGATTTAACAAGTATTCTTAAAATCATCAAGCTATTCATTAGCGACCTTGAATATTCTCTATGCTCATATGATGCTTGGATACTGGTTTACATTGTGAAACGTGCTTACCTAAGTGAAGAAGCTTTACAGTTTCTATTAACATGGCCCATTTATCTTATTTTGCTTGACATCATCTTGCAATTCCACATTATGGGCTTATAGCAAGCCTTTCGGAATTCTTGAATTTTGTCTCTTTCTACTTGGCTGTAGCCTACAGCCAATCAAGGGTATTGAGTTGGATTTCATGGAAGCAGTAGGCGGATTTGATAGGAATATTGGGAGTCCTTAATCTGCTATTCTCTTCCAATTAAAGAATCAAAGAGGTTAAACAACAATTCTTTAACTTATTTCAGCAATTATGAAGCGGAGGAAGCAATCTAAAATAACAGATTTGAACTTTGATGTGTTGAAACACATTATGTATCATGTAGCCCTATCACCCGATGGAGCTGGAAATCTTGCTCGGACTGTTTCGGTGTAAGTATTCATTCCCCGAATCTCTTTCTTATTTTTGTAGGTTTTTTAATTCTAGATAACCTATGATGTCTATTTACCTCGACTTCTTTGTCCTTCCCAATTCTCTTGCTATGATTAACTTTGAAGTTGAATTTCTGTTGAAGTTGACGTATGTCTGTCAATTTCCGCTGACTATGACCCAACAAGTGTCCTATGGGTGTTAAAAAAAATTGTCCCTTTACAACATCAAAAGGGGTTTAGTAAAAGGCATCTGCATATCTCTTGCGATTATCTTGCAGATTATGTTGCTTCTGATCCTGATTTCCTCATCACAGCTGCAGACTGTTCAAGGAACTTGCTGATGATTCTGACGTCTTAAAAGCCGTGGCATTTGATCGTGTTACGCTTACTGGTATTCATGAATCATTCTGGCAACCTGCTGGGCTGTTATCTAGGTGCTTACAGACAGGAAATCCAACTGCTTTTAACGCAATAAGAAAGGTACACAATTCCTCTGTATGGGGCATATCAGCAAGCTCTATCAGTGTTGTACAATATGGGGCCTTTAGTAGTTTCGGGTTACTTCTCTTTTACATGATTGCATTTCTGTTTGGTTTATTGCTAAAAATGCCTGTATTGCAGAATGCAGAGATATTGAATGCTTCTTATCTGATTCTCAAGAGAGCCATGTTCCGCGGAAAGATGGTAAAAATATTAAATTTTCTGTGTGTCGTTGACATTTACATCAGTCAGCCATTTAGTTTTTTTTTAGATTTAGGCCTGATAATAATGTTGACCTGCAGATTATTTTAGCAAGAAGCAGAGCTCTTGAAATTGGAAATACCAGAGCAAGGAAGAAGGCTCTTGAAGAGGCCATAAATGTTGGTATTTTAACGTCAAGTAATGTTAAATTCAGTTTATGGGACCGTCAACTGTTAATTGCCCTACTTGAAACTTATGGTTTAACACGTGTACAACCAGGAGTGCACAAAGACTTTTGACGCTGTTGATGCTCAAATTCAAACTATTGAGCAGTTTCTAGAGATGTTGATGGCTGTAGTGAAAGTAATGAGAAGTCAGATTGCTCAATGAGGTGGAGCTATTGCAGGTCTTCTTGATGCTGCAGAATCAAGGTCTACAAAGACAAGCGTTCCATACAAAATCCAAATTCAGCATTTGGGGCTTTAACTATAGTTGATGGAACTTGCTTGAGTGGTTAAGAACCCCCGTCAGTATATGGCAACAGTTATATCGAACATAGTTATCGCTCCAAACTTGCCAATTTTTGGTGCTCTCTGTGTATCTGAGTTTTCTACCCTTCTCTATCAACCTTAACTTATACCTTTTCTCCTCTCTTTTTTTTTTTTTGCCTTTACTTTTTGTGGTGTCGACTGAAATTTCTCAGTAGAGAGGGTGTAAATCCATTTGAAATCTAGGCACTTTCGTTTTTTGCTTAGATGTGCTCGATGGATGCTAAAGCTTATGTCTTGGCAAGAATGGACCAACACCTTAACTTCGTTAGAAAGCGGATTCACATCCATCCTTCTCCTTATTTTGGCCCTTTTGTTAGGCATTGAATCCCTCCTTAGGTGCTCAGTGGTGTCATCTCTTCCGCAACACCTAAATGGAGGTTTGTTTCATTCCTTTCTAATGTGATGCAGATTCATTGTGCTTAGAAATTTTTCATTTTCAAAACAGAAATATATGAAGGGGTTGGATTTATTTTGGTTCATTATATAAACTTACTCCAATAAGATAAGCAAAACCTAATGTTGAAACGAAATAAAAACTCATTTAATAGTACAAAGAAATGCTTCTAAAGGAGCCAGGATTTCTAATACTTCTGTCGCCAAATTAATCTACTTTTGAAAAAGCAACAAAAATAAGAACGTAAATTAAACAGTAAAAGAACCTCGGGACACCAGGTACCTTTCTAAGTCTCGAATAATATATAAATAGAAGATCCAATCTAATGTTCCCTTCCGTAGGATCTCATCCTCCGACCAAAGTTAGACTACTCTCGATATTTGGTATATGCTGTATTTTATAACCCAGTTTTCAGTAGTCTCTCGCACTAAACAGTTAAAGAACAGACACTTTGCACCACTTAGCGCCCTAACCAATATCAGCATTCTATATTTTATAATTGAAACAAATAATTTTGAAGAAACCCTACGGTTCAATCTGACCGTAACATTTCATACTATAAAATATCAATCACTATTTTGTAGTATAGCCAATATTGTACAGCCGAAATGGTAACAACTAAGTTATCAAACTTAAAGTGAAGTGACCGCTACAGAAGTGCAAAATTGCACGAGTTGACCACCCCTCCCTAATCTTCCCTCGAAAGCCAACAAGGCAGAAAAGGCTCCTTTAACAGTAAAGCACCATATAACATTCAGAATGGAGATATCACAACTTGTAAACCAGAAACCAGCTTTGCTCCAGCAGGTTGCAGCTTGTGCTTCAATGAGCGTGTTTCGCCTAATGCCCAGCACGTTCTCAGCCACACAATTTATCTTCTCACCACACTAATGATGGTGCTGATAAAGAATGTCAGTTTCACCAAATGAAAGTGTGATCAATAACATGAATCTTCAAGATGTGCTTCAACTAGGTGAGACTAGAACACTTCCCTCTGAGAGAAGGCTACACCCAGCTTGGATGTGCTGCTTTTGCAACAGCTCCAATTCACTAGAAGGGAAAACCTCTGATTGAAGGGATGGGCATATTTTGTGCACATGCAACCACGTTAGCTGCCAGAAACTGTCCCCTCCTACAGGATCACTTGGCACCAGAAGTCCACTAGCTTTCATGACAAGTAGAGTGTTCTTTAGGAGTTCAGGGACGAGTTCTGGGATCTTCTCACTCCGTTTACCTTTGAATTTCATCTTCATGCATCTTTCTGTATGATCCAATAACCCTAACCATAGTTTGCAGAAGGATGGCAACTGTGAGAGCTGCTGCAGACACTGTAGAAACACTTTGAACATGAGCTTCAGAGACAGAAAAATTGCTCCTTCTATGCTCCTGTAATCCTTTATGGAACCTTGTGGTGCAAGTTCCAGCAATTCATCCATCAATGTAAAGATCAACTGATCAAAACATTGCAACCACAGATCGGTTGAAATGTGTATCCCCTCAACCCCTGTCAAACACCTCTGCAACATCAAGATGGCATGACCCCGCACCTCTTCTCTCCAATCCAAACAAAATTTTCTGAGTCCCTGTACCAGCCTCAGCCACATCTCAGTTATATCCTGATACATTTTTATAGCAGCCTCCTCCCCCAGAGCTTCCTTTGTCTTGTGAGACCATCTAACAAGACAAACAAGTGACCCAGCCATCAGGTCCAAGGATCTCACAGCTTGATCAACATTTCCAATGCGGGAGTCAGCAAAGTGACTGGCTGCATTTAAACAAAGGATGTAATTAGCAGGCAGTAGGTGAGCCCCATCAGCCATGATGAATGATAATGTTTCAAATCCTGCTTCAGAAGCTTCTGGATGCCGAGCTGTAATAGAAAGCAGAGATATAATTGTCCGCCAGCCCATATGTGATCGTATCTGCATAGCGTTTGCTTTGACAAGGTGCATCACCTCCTGGGTTATCTGTTCAAGAAAAGCATCGGCGACCCTTGCATCGAGCTTTAAGACGAGTTGCAGTGACTTGAGGAGCTCATCTGTGAGATTTTCCTTGTAAGGAAGCAACCTTTGGCATATGCGAAGCAGCCCAAAAACAGCCTTCTCTACCAAAGTACAAGGCATTGTTGTTGATTGGACAACACTTGCTATGTGCTCATAAACAACCTGCCAAAGAAGCATTATCCTATCCCGATTATTTATTGTGATTGCAATCAGCAACTCCAGACAGAATACTGCAGTCTCTTCTTCTTCTAGAGAGAAGTTTCCCTTATGAGGCCGGCCTGCAGCCATCACAAGGGCCCGAACAAGCTGTGAAAGTGACTCTGCTTGCAAAAACTTACTCTCGGCAAATATGCTATTAATGTGACAATTCTGAATAGTCTGAAGAGTCTGCTGGCGGGCGGCAAGCTGTTTTTCATTTGGCTGAGGCGCAGGTTCTTCTACATCAAGATATAACAGTTGGCTAAATCGGCCCATTAAGCCAGATGATTTCCTTGATGGGGCCAATGAAGGCACATGAGGTGCTGATGGGGAAGCTGCAGCAGGTTTGCTTTGGTCGGCATCAGAAGTAGACTCCACATCATCAGCAGCATCACTAAAAAGACGAGTAGGAAGAAGGCCAAATTTATGCAAGCTCAAAATGCAGTCCAGGATGTTTTTCCAACCAGAGCGAATATGGTCCCCATACTTGTTTGCTATTGTGAAGACAGCTAAAGTTGCCAGTCTAGCTTTATTATCTTGGGCAAATGTGACAATAAAATCATCAGTATATGATGGAAGCAAAAGAGTTGTGAACTTGCAAAGAGATACCACTAAATCATCCAACACATTATCAAAGCTATAGGAGGCTGAAATTTTGGCAATGGCAAGAAATCCATCGATGCATGTTTGCCAGACATCTTCCTGCTCCACATGATCAAGAACCACTGAGATGGAAGCAATTGTCGGACCAGACAACATAGAAAACATATCATAATCAAGATAAGGTCCTTGATCACAGACAATAAACGGGGAAGTTTGCCTTGATTTGTGAACTAGACCAATCCAATGGCTTGGTGCCATCAATGGGGTTCCAGCACCTCCATCTGGGGAAATCCGGATCTCATTCTCACAGATGGAGTGGTAGAGCTCAGACAAAAATTCTCGAGGGAGGTCATTTCCTCCATTTATTCTCCGGTTGTTGCGAATGAAATCTTCCTCCGTCATCTTCTTCTTCACCTGTGTATTGTGTTGATCCGTGTTCAGCATGATAAGTGAATACGATAACACGAGTGCTGCATCTTTGTTAACCAGAACATCTGGTGTCTGCTCATAATATCGTTCAGAGAACGCTTCAAGCACCCTCTGTATTTTCTGTGATTCTCCAGG